AATAAAATTAAGCTCTTGTTTGATTTTCACTAAAAAAAAATTTAATTAAAATTCAATTCAAATACAACAATTAATTTTAACCACACATTTCATCAATTTTTATCAAAATTTATTACAAATTTAATTCTTATATAAATCGAATAGGGACAAAACTAATCTAGATAAAAAAAAAAAAAAATTAATACAACAAATGTTGTCCCTTCGAAATAGGCCTCCCGTAACTCCTAAGAAAATAAGAATCATTCGAGGAAGGTACCATTGCCAAATAGTAGCGATGAGACTGCTATTTTCGGTTATCACCAAATTTGACCATTTTTCAACATAAAAGTTGGATTTTTCAGCCAGGTTCACTTTCATGTCACTGTCCACTTTACTTTTTATTTTTTTTAATTGAAACATACAAATGGTCGATTTTATTATATTCAACAAATGGCTGCAACTGTCATTTCTTTATTATTAAAAAATGCTTTACAAATTTCTATGAGCACCATTTTTGGCCATGCATTTTTGAAGTGTTTTGTTGGAGATTGCGTGGTTATAGAATGTGCGGTTGAAAATGAATTTTGAAAAAAATAATTTTTTTAAGAAATGGGAGCCGACATAGCCTTAATAAAACTATTCATTTCGTTTGTCTTTAATTCAATTATTTTTTTAATACTCCCTTCGTCTCATTTATTTAGGTTGATTTTCCTTATTTTTTCTTTCAATTATATAGTTTTGTTTCTTTATTGAGTATGTTTTGGTTCCTTTACTAATATACTCTTAGGGTCCGTTTGATTGCAAGAGTAGAATTTGGGAGGAAAGAAAATGAATTTCAGATAATTGAATTGCTTAGAACTTGTTTTTCAGGGAATTGTCAATTAGTTGTGTTTGATTGGTATAATTTCCCACCTGAAAATGTTGAAAATTTGGATATTTTGGTGTTCGTTTGACTTTATTTTTCATGAAAATTGTCCATTAAATGGATATAATTTGTTACAATTCCACTTAAAATTTGTTTCCATTGAAAAAAAAAATCCTGGAAAACTATTTTCCCACCTAAATGGTGGAAAAATGAATTCAAGGAAAACCAAGAATTTGTGACCGTGTGGGAGGAAGTGAGAAATCCAATTGCCAAGAAAAAAAATCCAATCAAACAATCAAAAAATTGGAAAATTTTCCATGGAGTTGCCACCCTATCAAACTGGGCTTTATTTCTTTACTATTTCTAACAGTAATTTACTACTAATTGTTAATAATTAAATATAGATAAATTTAAAAAAAAAAATTTTGACAAAAATTATTTTTTTAATGACATTAAATAAATTTTTTTAATTCGGGTGAAAAACAAGATAAGAATATGTGCTTCCATATGGATCGAATTAATCCTTGCATCTAAGGTCTTTTATTTATTAATTTACTTAAATTAGTCACATCACATTAATAAAAGTGTACTAAGATCTAGATTTAGTGGGATTATATGAATCGAGGCACATATGAAAATACAAAAATATATCTAGAAAGTGGTTCAAAGACACAGACATCTGGTCTGGTCTTACTCATGAAGTCACCTAGCAGCTTCCAAGTTGGGACATATCACCATCCAGGTAAGGTCATTGAGCACGTCACCACCCTTGCTAATGCATCATTAGCTTGCTAATCACGCTTCAAGTGGAAGAATGTTTAGGATTCAAGTGGAAGAATGTTTACGTAGAAATTGATATAGACACTAGAGTCAAGAGTATTGAAAACTTAAAATCGTTTGAAATTGTATAATTAATTACTTGAAGATCTGAGGTAGAAGAGATGATTGATTCGACTATGATACTTAAGTCAATGATCGTACAATTAAAATATTTTAATTAAGGGTTTGTTCGGGGTAGTTTAAAATTCAATTAAAATTGAAAATATAGTCGTTATTGGGTCTCACTCGTCTAATAAAGGTCAACAATAACGGCTAATTTTTCAATTTTAATCTGATTTTAATCTCTACCGAAAGCGCTCTAAGTTAAGAGATGTTTCTATATTTTAATAAATAAATTAGTTTTCTTTTTAATAATTTAAAATTATCGACACTAGAGTCAAGAGTAATGAAAACTTGAAATCGTTTGAAATTGTATAATTAATTACTTGAAGATCTGAAGTAGAAGAGATGATTGATTCGACTATGATACTTAAGTCAATGATCGTACAGTTAAAAATATTTTAATTAAGTTAAGAGACGTTTCTATATTTTAATAAATGAATTAGTTTTCTTTTTAATAATTTGAAATTATCGACACTAGAGTCAAGAGTATTGTAAACTTAAAATCGTTTGAAATTGTATATTTAATTACTTGACGATCTGAAGTAGAAGAGATGATTGATTCGACTACGATACTTAAGTCAATGATCGTACAATTAAAATATTTTAATTAAATTAAGAGACATTTCTATATTTTAATAAATGAATTAGTTTTCTTTTTAATAATTTAAAATTTTAACATGAATATTCAAGAAATAAAAATATACACATTCTTATTTTGTAGGATAAGATTTGAATAGATGATTCACAACCACAATTTCCTGCAAAGGTAAGCGTTCAACAGACAATGCTTTGTTATTTCCCAGATATACTTGTATTTATCTCTTTTGAATACAAAAATAGAAAACTTATATTATTCTTTGAGTTTCATGTACACTACAAAGATTTTTTTTTTAAAATTTTTTTTTAATTCTTACTTAGAGGGTGTTTGGTAGATATTAAAATCGGATTAAAATTGAAAAACTAGTCGTTATTGTTGACTTTTATTAGATGAGTGAGACTCAATAACAACTATATTTTCAATTTTAATTGGATTTTAAGCCGTACCAAACAGACCCTTAATATTGTTCAATTAAATGTAAATAAATATATCAGTATAAAATTGAGTATAATATTTTTATAAAATTCCTTTAATATATTTACCTAATGGAACTTCACTTTGATAAAATAAAAAAATATTCACAATAGAATAGATGTCCTTGTTAAGCATCTATTTGATAAAGATTTTTAAAAATTCGTTTTATTTTTTTAAAAAAAAACTCATTTTCAACCGCACACTCTTCTAATAAAATAGTTTTGCATATGAATCCATAATTTTTTTTCTTTTTTTTTTAATTCCCCAAAATCTATTATCAAAAAATGTACGGGTCATAAATAGGAACTATCATGAATTGAGTTGACGTCAAGCTATGTATGTAGCAAGCTGTCGCGTAACTATAATCCTTGTCAAAAAGAAGTTCCTATCTCCCGTGTGAACCGCTTCATAATCCATGGAACATTCAAATTAACTCCTCTTAAGTATAACCGTATAAGGGATGTAAACGAGTCAACTCAGTTAAATTTTTTTGCTATCGATGCAAAAATACATGAAAACTGAATAGTGTTCCAGCTTTGCTCGTTTACTATTTTACATTTAATTTGAATGAATTTTCAGCCATTGGATTCATCGAAGTTTGTTGATGTCAAAAATTATTGGGACATGGTTCACTTTAATTGCACAAATCTAAAATTTTGTGCATAAATCCTAAACCGTATAATCACTGTATTGGACTCTTTTTGTGCATCTTAAAGGAGCAAGATTGATACATGCGACTAAGAACACAAGGGTGGTGATGTCAGTTGAAGATGAGACTACTTAGATAGAGATTAAAGTCGGATTAAAATTGAAAAACGGATCGTTATAATTGACTTTTATTAGACGAGTGAGACCCAATAACGACTATATTTTCAATTTTAATTTGATTTTAAGTTGTACCAAACAAGCTCCAAATATACAAGGTGATGAATGGATGATGACACTTTGACGATTAAAAAATATTGTGTTCTGGACGGAGTTTGAATTTTTTATATTTTATACTTGACATATTTATAATAAGTTGAATTTGTTGGATTAGGTAAAAGAGTTATACTTGCGTAGTTACCATTGCTACAGTTAAAGTAGGTAAGTTGTCACGTCTTTTAAATTTCAAGTATGTTATAGCACGGCAACATATCAGGTAGACTATTGTGTTGACGGTTAGCTTCTTACTTTTTTTCTTTCCTTAATATGAATGTTGCAACGGTTTTGCTACTGGTACATCAAGGTGTACATCAACGTATACATCACACTCACATGGGGGTGGGATCCGTTTGAATAAAAAAATATTTTATACAAGTGAGTCACACCCCCATGTGAGTGTGATGTACATAGGTGATGAATGGATGATGACACTTCGACGATTAAAAAATATTGTGTTCTGGACGGAGTTTGAATTTTTTATATTTTACATATTTATAATAAGTTGAATTTGTTGGATTAGGTAAAAGAGTTATACTTGCGCAGTTACCATTGCTACAGTTAAAGTAGGTAAGTTGTCACGTCTTTTAAATTTCAAGTATGTTATAGCACGACAACATATTAGGTAGACTATTGTGTTGACGGTTAGCTTCTTACCTTTTTTTTCCCCTTAATATGAATGTTGCAACGATTTTGCTACTGGTACATCAAGGTGTACATCGACGTATACATCACACTCGCATGGGGTGGGATCCGTTTGAATAAAAAAATATTTTATACAAGTGAGTCCCACCCCATGTGAGTGTAATGTGTACAATTCTTGATGTACAAGTAACATTTTTGATGTTGCAAACTTTAGTGTTAAGTAGATTTCTCTTCAAAATAATCTCCTTTTTTTTTGTACTTAAATTTAACTTTCAACATGCAACTTGAATAAAAAGTGGCTTTTCAAGGGAGTGATTAATCCAATTAGCCAAATATTCTCGAGACGCCAACTGGAATTCACACGAGTCGTCCAATTGACCCAAAATAATCCCTCAGCCGACTTTCACAAGATTGCAATTTAGATGACGAAGGCAGTGACAGAATCACCCACACGTGGGGACAATCCGCGAACGTGGCCTCCCGTGATTGCACCGATAAGTCTTACCTGCGACCAGGAAATTCAACGGGACCCCACGAGAAAACACAGCTTTTACTGTTATATTGAAAGCAGATTCAATGTCCCACGTGCGAACAGGGAACTCCCATGTATATATACAACTCTACGGTGCCATTTTATTTGTTTCAATTGAAAGCAGAGCAGCCTTTGCATCTTGGAAGATATTCAAGTATCTGTTAATTTGATTAAGCTTTACTCGAGAATAAACTAGTGAATGAAGAGTGATCAGCAGTTGAATTTGCCGGCAGGGTTCAGGTTCCATCCGACCGATGACGAGCTTGTGGTCCATTATCTCTGCCCGAAATGCGCCGGCCAGTCGATTTCTGTTCCTATTATAGCCGAGCTTGATCTCTATAAGTTTGATCCTTGGGATCTTCCTGGTAAGTTTATTTTCTTTCTGGGTTTCTTTTTGTGGGTCACTTGTAAATCTCTTTCATTTCTTGCCTGATTGAGCACAATGGTTTATTGAATATTGTTTGATTGTTACAGCTATGGCTCTGTATGGTGAAAAAGAGTGGTACTTCTTTTCTCCAAGAGACAGGAAGTACCCGAATGGATCCCGGCCTAACCGGGCAGCGGGAACCGGGTACTGGAAGGCCACCGGAGCCGACAAGCCGGTGGGGAAGCCGAAAACACTGGGAATAAAGAAGGCTCTGGTGTTCTATGCCGGAAAAGCTCCTAGAGGAGTCAAAACTAATTGGATTATGCACGAGTATCGCCTAGCTAACGTGGACCGGTCCGCCGGCAAGAGAAACAATTTGAGGGTACTTACTCATTCGCTTAATTAAAGAATAAGATGGACAGTTCACTTGTTTATGATCTTGTTCTATTTGTGCACTCAAGAAATATTTTTTTGACAAATGAAACCTTAATCACTTGAAGTAATTTTTTTGATATGCCTGTGATCTAGTATCCTTAAACCCTTTTGCCTTCTGTATTAGCTATTCATAGTTTAGCACTGTGTAGATTTCAGAATCCGCCCCCAGAACTAACTAATAGAAAAACTTAATTCTTGATTCTACTTGAATTTTATGCAAGTGTTTCATTTGCTTGTTTTTGATTGAAAGTTTTGATTTTGTTGTGGAATTCTTCTGAAAATATTATGTGATTAAGAAACTAATTTATAGCTTACCTTGTATGTAAACATCTTATATTTGCATTAATGGTGTCATTTTGGGCTATTACAGCTTGATGATTGGGTGTTATGTCGAATATACAACAAGAAAGGCACTCTCGAGAAGCATTACAATGTCCATCAGAAGATGGTGGAATTTTCAGACAGCGAAGAACAGAAACCGAACATGGACTCGTTGCAATATAGTATAGTAAAATCAGCTCAACAGGTTCAACCACCACGGCCTATGGCACCGCAGATGATGAACCAGAATGACTATATGCAATTCGACACATCCGAGTCAGTTCCCAAGTTGCACACAGATTCAAGTAGTTCCGAGCACGTGTTATCGCCCGAGGTCGAAAGTGCACCCAAATGGAGTGAGTTTGAACAATCCCTTGATAATCAGCTCAACTACATGGATGGCTTTCAAGATGACCCTTTTAGCACCCAACTGCAGTATAATGATCAGCTCTATCTGTTTCAAGATATGTTCACATACATGCAAAAGCCCTTTTAATTTCATTTGGTCCTCATAATCATAGTAAGATTACTAGGTGTAGGTAGCCATGTAAATCCAAATGAAAAAAGGAAGGGCTAGTAGGGACTGGAAAATCTTGGATGCTATATGCAAATACTAGGAACAAGAAAATCAGCTGGTCAAATTTAATGGGCTTGATAAAGATGGACAGAGTCAAAAAAGGAAATTAGAGATTGAATCCGTTTGTTGATGACGTTGAACGATGAATGGACTGATGTAGAGTAGGGCATTCTTATTATTTAGAATGCAGTACTCATTTTTTTGTTCTTTGTTTTGTATGTTCACTGTAGCATTCTTATATGGAAAAAGAGAATGAGATTTGTTCTATAAATATCTTTGTAGTTATGCCAAGATTTTGCACTCACTAGACTGGCATGATGGTTATCATGAACAGAACACAATCTGCAACAGCTAGTCCCAGAATTAGCTATGTTCTATTGTACCATCTCTCCAAAACTCTCCATCAGTTGGAAAATTAGGCCAAGATCAAGATCTGTTTTTCACAAGCTTTTTGATTTAAGGCAATATACAACATCGACATCCTCGATATAATCAATGTGTAAGCATCAGAGAAAGAAATTGATCATCAAAGAATTCTGAATAAGTTATCCCCTACTTATTTGTAACTCGAAATTTTCATTATCTGGTAATGGTACATTCCTCTTCCCTCCAGTGATTATTGTTCTATATTACATTAATTAATAGTGTTACAAGTATGCATACATGAATTAAAAGGGAAAAGAAAAGAGGTCCTAATCCTGATTACAAGATTGCACGATTTGACCTCGGAGGCTGATCACAATTTGCGGCAGTCCAACCTATTGCTTGCTTCTCATTGTCATAAATTATCATTTTATGTTGCATTGAAATATCTGCATCAGATGAGAGAATTTTGTTGTGTCAAATTTTCAAACTTTGATCAACAAAAAATATCTCTTTTTTTAGGAACTTAAGTTTACTCATAGGTAAACTTAAGAATTAAACTTCTAAGGTTGGCCAGAAATGCCCTATGACTTACCCCCAATCATGTTCAAATTATTCAACCCTATGTCAGTGCCATTCAGAATTCCCAAACAAGCATTGCCCTTTGACTGCACAAGACAATTATCAGTAAACAAACAGAAATTTTCAAGTGGCTAAAAGTAACAAATATTATGTTCAAGTTCTTACTGATATAATAAGATATGCTTCAGGGGAAATTTCAAACTGGGGTTTGGCTTTCCTGCCATTGGGAAATCTCAATGCTAGAGGCTTGAAGTATTTCTTGACATCGTGTATATTTTCAAAAGGTTTCTTTCCTTTCCAGCAGAACGGAAGAGTACGGTCATCAGTTGCTTCTCTCAGCTTCCCACTTAATCCTTTTTTTGTCTACAAAATCATGCCGCGTAGCAAATATTATGTTTAATATTTGAGATATATTACATAAAGGATATGTAATTAGGAGATATGCTTAAAAGAACTATTGCAGGATTCAAAAATGGAACTGTGCAGCAAATAAAGACGTAGGTTTTCAAGTTAGTTGTGGTTGAGTCCCAGGTGGGGGGCAAGCATGTGATGATGGCCAAATTCTGATACAACCAACACTTCTTGATTGACAGGAGTGTATGGACTTGCTAGGATTGTGATTTTGTTAATTGAAGTGAAAGTTTAGGAGTGGTAAGAAAGAAAATTTCAACTCACCAAAGAAATTAGAGAATGGTAAATCTGAGAATTAAAGTATGTATAAGAGCTCCCACTGTCGAAGATCACATTAAGATTCTTAATCCCAGTACTTTTCCCATCGAAAACAAATTCTGCATTTTCAGCTGTGTAGTGTTTGCTGTCACCAATAATCGATTGAGATACTCTATTAGAATTAGAAAATTATTTCCAAACTGCAGAAAAGGAGAACAAAATATTGCAAGCATATCTGTGTACGTGGGTACGGGTTGGGGGGTGGGGGAGCGAGGGATGAAAAGGGAGAGAAGAATACGTGTAATCACGCGACATTGGTGTCCATGTTATGCGTGAAGAATCATAAACATCTTCTCCAAGGAAAAGGTACCCTCCTTGGCCACTTAAACATTGGCCGACAACATTTTTGACCACTCCCTGATCATGAAGTTGAGAAACAATGCTGGATTTTCCTTTGCCAAGACCAAGTACTCCGTCTAAGGGATGATCAGATATACCAGGTAGCTGATCATACCCACATCTGCGAAAAGGATTCACATTAAAAGATGACTTTGGAGAATATCTCTATATGTAATAGGCATGTATATACAGAATTGTTCAATTGAAAAATGGAAAGCAGAATGAGGCATTCGAAAGAATAGAAGGCTATGAGAGAAGTGAGAACTAAATTTCAAAACCATTTTTCTTCAATCGCTCATATCTAGAGTTTGCAAATCAGTCAACTTGAAGGCTTTTGAGATCAAATGAGAGAACATCAATACTACAATACCACATGGAGAAGGGCAATTTAACTGAAAGTAGATCAAATTAATAGAGAGGAAGACCGCTAACCCGAGAGTCAGACGAGGAAAAATTCGAACTCCACTGGTAAGATTGAGGGTAAACAAATCGTTGACAAGTACACCAAGGGAGGAACCTCCATCTGCATACTCGACCTCGTAATCACATTGTTCTGGGTTGTCACATCTATAATCGCTCGAGTGCAAAGATGCACAAAGGGGATCTCTACATACTACAAGGTCATTGCTGGGCCGGTAAAGCGGATGAAACCCCTGCACAAAACGGAAATATTAGAATGAGGAATTTGTCCTCAGCCATGATGCTGTACAATAGATGTAAATCAATATACTTATACAGATTAATAGCACCCTCTGATATTCATCGTAATACTTTTAACTGAAACTACCTAAGATGAAACATTTTAGAGTAAGAAAAAAACTTTCTGAACTACTTTGGAAGTGAGGCTGAAATTTTAACAGATAGTTTCAGTAATACAAGAGGATTTTATCCCTAAATTTAAGAAATACCAATTCATTGAACTGTCACGACAATCAGTCCAAGGAATTTTAATGTTTCAATCAGCCACGGTTTGTTTCACTTGCTATAAATTCCAAAGAACTACTAAGATGATCTCTTAACTGATCCGTCTAGACTCTAAAGCAAATATTGAGTTCTTGATTTAACTAACACGTAGAAGCAACCAAATTATCGTCCATGGAAATTGAACTGGGATTTTTTATCACCTCTCCGATCCCTCTTTTTTTCTCCAAAAGTTTCCCATTTCGGTTATCTTATCACTATTTTTAGCCTTACCCTCAAAATACAAGAAGTCATTAAATCTAATTTCGAACACTGTGTATACCATATATCACAATAACTATATACTAAAATGTTACAGAATTATGACAACAGATCTTTACCTTCGTGCAACGCACACAAGGCGCATCACATTGAAGCCATGTTAGATCACTGCCTGTATCGGGATCAAGAAAGTATGGTCTTGGAGGATGTCCTACGAAAACTTGCACAAAATAAAACCTGCAGGAGATAATTCAGTCAATTAAAATCCCAACACAGGTAGTTGCACCACAACTTGCAGAAATTAATTCTTATCCATATAAATCAAGAAATCTCCTTTCTATCCAACCATTTATGCACGTCACTCTCAATTAACAAATCCCCTATTTTCTTTCTTTTAAGGAGTACACTGTCCTCAAACAGGAATAGTTGAAAAATACATACGAAAATTGAATGCAAATGCTGTTTAAAAAAGAGTAGAATTTTCATACCCATTGGGATAAACATTGCCATATAGTGAGAATATGATAGATGACCCAATTCTACGGACCCCTGATGAAGAAGATGCTCCAGTGGACATCGATTTTCTCCATTTATGCTGCTGATCAATAGAACTTGCACCTGCTACAGCCAGTAGAATAAAAATCATAATCAAAATCTGCTTCGCTTTCCCCATCACTTTTTCTCTCTCCGACCCTAAAATTATGTTAATTCCTGCGAAAAACATAAGGCTTGTCTGTATTTATAGACTTGAATGTCTGCTATTTTTGGTTTTAAGTCAACTGGATTCTTTGGAAGGTATTTTAACTTGAGAATAAAGGTGGCTTTGATTCACACATGTTCTTAACTTTTCTTGTTTGTCGATACCTTGTTACATTGTGTATTCCTTGCCTCCCCAGCCATGGAAAGTCTGATGCATTGAGAGTCAAAGAATCATCATTGACATACTTGCAGAAAGGTATCCGATTAGAAAGGGGTTGCTGCTTGCTTTGTATAAAAAAAAAAAAAGTAACAAGTTTCAATCAAAATCCAGTGTTGATTTTAACAATGTGAAAATCATGTATCTCATCATTTTTTATAAAAAAATATTAAAAAATTAATAAAAAATTGCAAATAAATTTAACAATTTAGACAAGGATGACTTGATAAAATGGAAAAGCAGACAATAATAAATATAATTGAAAGAAATTAAAATTTTGTTAAACATATTGATTGCACATTTAATGAGATTAATAATTTTTAAGTCACATATTTTATTAATTTTTATCAAAATTCAATTTAAAAATCTAATTTTTAACTATACGAAATAGGGATTCGATATTTTTTACACAACTTTTCTCATGATTTCATTTTCATTTTCATTTTCTTTATCATCTTAATACAAGTTCGAGTATGACACGACAACACGAGTCTCTAGAATTGAGCTCGACATGATTGGATTCTAAGGATAGGAAGTAGTCCGGACATTTTGACACTTCTAATTAATTATTTTGTAATAGTGGATCCAATCATGTGAACTAGAGGTATAAATTGGATCATGTCAAAACTTATATTGTACAAATTTGAACATCATCATCAAAATAAATATTTTCTTTGAATAACCACTGTTTATTTTGAATAATGCTAGACATAACCATTCACATAATGGTTCTCTAGGTGTACATAACCATTCACATACTGTTTCACATAATACTGACGTGGCAATCATCCACTTGTTGATGTGCAAGTGTGAAATTTGAATTAAAGGTTGGATCGCATGCCACATGTAATTATGTGAACCGTTATGTGAATGGTTATGTACCTGTAGCATTACTCATTTATTTTTATCTTGTTGTGAACTACTTTTTATATGATAGTTTCTTTTATATTTCATATAATAAAAAATAATAATATTTATATAAGATACACAAAATTAAGGTGAAATGGAGAAAGTTAGCCCCCGTTTGATGGTCATTATTTAAAAAAATGTTGTTTTGAGTAGTGATTTTTTGAAAAATGTGTGGTTAAAAAGTAGGAAAAATTTCGAGTTTACGTATAAAATATTTTATTGTGTAAATGTGATTGATAATAAGCATGATAATTAAAGAATACCAATTCTTTTGGACTGAAACACGATGTTCTACGTTTTAGGATTTTCCTATGGTTCGATTGATCCACCGGTTCGAAAAGCATTTCCAAAACTCCAAGACTTATTATAACGTAGTTGAGGATTTCAACATAGTTCCACGATAAGGAGAACACGTATAAATTATAGAAGGTAAAGTTAGAGGTGTAAATCAGATCGTGTTAAATTTGTGTCATTCAAGTTTGAAATGGCCTTGAATGGTGATATAGAGTATTGTCACTACTTCATGGTGACGTATGATATTTGCATCATTTTAAATCATTTCTATTTCAAGCATGCTCCTGCATTATCCATTCATTTCGCGGGAATGCTCCTCAACAAGGAGCTTATCATCACTTTGTCCAAAAATTATAACTCACGGGGCAAATACAATCCACCATGTATCACCCAAAATTAAGCTCGAAAATCCACCCTAAGCCGACTATCAATTTTTTTACTTGTCGGACAAGCTTAAAATGATGTTGACCAGCCCTTTTTAGCTTTTTAGAATCTAAAATCAAATAAATGTACTTTTCAAAGGAAAAAAATACCTTTTTGTAATGAATAAAGGAATAGCCGCCTAAATTTTAAAAAAATAAAAATAAAAATCACCCAACATATCCGGCAGTTGTGTTTGAGCTGTGGTTGAATGTGACCGGTGCAAAATTGTGCAACGTGGAAGAACAATCCGCTCAAATCTCAGTCTTAAATCTTTACGCCCAATCCCAATTAATAATTTATTTAAAAATGCATATTGCTGATCTTGCGTTTCTTGTTTTCGCTATATAATGAACTATACGAAACAGAAAATAATTTTAGGAGGAACAAAGACATAATTGAAAAGAACCGAAGGACGAATCGAATGGCTTTGGCGATGTCGGTAAGTTTTTTTTTTCTCTCTCTATCTATATGTATATCTGTATGTACGAACACTATGATCGTGTATTTTTATCAATTAATGGTAAAAGCTGATTAAGTCAACAAATTTAGGTTGGGTTAGCAATAGAACAATTTACTTGTGTATAATTTATATTAGTCTAAGATTTTTAGGGATGAGGGTATATTGTATATGAATCACGATTCACGATAGTATGTGAATTTTTATTTTTTTTTAAAAATGCACGAAGCCAATTGAAATGTGGCGCCATTTCCATTCAACTTTCAATTTAAAATAGAATTGAAAGTCTATAGTAGGTTGGTGTTTCTGGAGTCCAAATATGCTATAAGATGATAATATGGTACTGAAGCTCAAGTATGATGTTTAAGCTGACACTTGAAATTATTTTGTTGTTCCAATAAATGGAGTCTAAACCAATGGCATTGTGCACATGAGGAATCCTTCTTTTGATGAACGTGTTTATTGAAAGAACTAAAGTAAAGACATTTTGCTAATCGTGGATGCTCTGAAACATTCATTTGTGACACCTATAAGTTATAGTTTTACATGTATACTGTACATTTTTAAGTGCATAGTGCATACAATTAGTAGTATGCAGTGACAAGAGTGGGGGAAAATCGGGACTGGTGCTCAAAATAAGCTCTAATTCTACTTTCTTTTGGGATGTCTGCCCCAGAGTGAAGTTTGGTGGGGGTACTTTAGGCTTTTGTTGTAAAACTGGCTGCAATTTATCTGATTACTCATCAAAAAAAAAAAAAAAAAAAGACCTTGCTGCAATGGAACTGGGATTTGGTTGCTTTCATAAAACTTTAGTAATCCAACATCATCTGAACATGCAGATGTTCAGAGGTTCAAGAGAGCTGCTAGGTACGTTATTGACAGGTAAGTTCCGTTGTGTTTATTAACACTCTGTGTGACCTTTAACAGGATTCATCTGTGTATATGGTGATTGTGCTGTGTAGATAGGCCTCAATTAATTTTCTTCCTCATCGACAGACAATTTTCAATCAATCAGCAGAAACAGAAAAATTCTAAGCAGAGTGAGAAGGGTCATACCATTTCAAAGATCAGTGAAGTTTGTTCAAACAACGTGCCGGATATCAGTTCCAGGTATCTCATTACAAAGTGAAGAAAAGCGACCTTCTAATTTTTTGAGAGACAAAAAGATATTGCCATATTCAGATCCCCCAAGGGCGGAAGATGTTGATCTTTTGTATCAGTTCTTTGATAGGAGGTATGCAAAGATCTCAATGGGTTCAGAGAGTTAATAATAAAAAATAAATAATAACAATTATTGGTCCAATGCACTTTAATCATCAAGAATTATGTTCTGTTCATTCTCTAAGATATCCAGCATTTTCCTTTTTGGTCCAACACACTTTAATCATCAAGAATTATGTTTCCATGATAGACAATGATGTGATACAATGAGAATGATGAGAATCTTTGTGTTTTCTCTTTTTTCTGAGAACTTAAAGATTCGATAATGGGCTTATTTAAATCAACTGCATCACTTTTCTATCTCACCAAGTAATTTAAGAATGTTGCTTTTTCCTTTTTAGCTAATTATCCTTGAAGTCAATTGAGACCTGTCATTGCCCAATGTGTTCATAATACTTATTGTCCTTATATAATGATAATCAGTTTAAAGTCAGTTCATATAATCTGTAGATTAGTGGAAGATCTTGTGGATATATAGCATGTAAAGAGTGTTGACTATGTTGTGTGCTGATTGTTGGATTAGAGGTGATATGTTAAATCATCTTGTGATTTCTCTTGTTTTCTGAATTCTCAAGAGATTGATTGATCTAACGGTTGAAGATGAATGAGTCTGCAACAAACCTGTTGCTTTGAATCAAGGTCTAGAATGACATTTCATTTGCAGTTACTTGATTGGTTGTGTGAAGATTTGACATATGCCAATCTGCCTAGCTAAGTTTGTTTTTCCCTTATCAAACACTCTATGTTCTTCATGTCTTAATGATCTGTACACCTAAAAGTTACATGCTGATATGTCAGGTTGTGAAACTCGGACTAGATTTGTGGCCTCAATTTGGTCATGTAATTATTATGCTTAATTTTCTTTATCTCGCTATTAATGTTCTTGTGATTGAAAGAAAAATGATCATGGGATGTTCTACAAATCTCTGACCCATTTTTGTTGAATCATTTTGCAGTTCGAAGCTTGTTGTTTTGACTGGAGCTGGGATTAGCACAGAAAGTGGAATTCCTGATTATAGAAGGTTACTTTTCTCAACTTAAAAGAATATACTTAAGTGTAAAAGGAATGCAGCAATTTCACCTTCATGATGTTGCTCTATCTTCCTCCCAGAAAGTGTGAATGATTTTTGAGTGGTTGTTTTGTCGGTGTTCTATCACAGTCATATTTGAATGTCATCCACTTCCATAGTTTTATGAACATCTGTAATCCAAATTTGATGAAGTATAGAAAGTTCTCCTTGTCTTGCTTTTTGGTGTAACTCTTAAACCTACTTCTCATTTATTAAGGATTCTTACAGTCATTTCAGAAGTTCTTTGCTTATTAAATGATATTAGCTTTAAAGTAGCTGTCGAGTCTATTTCCATTGCCTAATATTTGGCAACTTACTGTTCTTGGCTAAGTTGGCTTACTCGCACTTGTTCAAAGAATTGTTACTAGAATGTGGACCATAACATGGTAATTTTATCATGTTTTAAAAAAAAAAAAATCACAGAATTTAGAAGGGTAATTCATTGATGTTCTTAATCTGTTTCTCATCTTGGCAGCCCAAATGGAGCTTACAGTACTGGTTTCAAACCAATTACTCATCAGGTGATCGGAAGGCATGCACTGTAATAATTTCTTTCTTCATTTTGATCTTTCATTCTCGTCAGTGCTTTCCCCCAATCTCCTTCCCTTTA